AAACCTGCCTAGAGATAATTATATTAGGACCACATATCTTATATTATTTGATTGTCCACACAGGAGAGGGAAGACGCTTGAGACTTTGAATCTGAATTTGGAAGAGTCGCTGATAAAACATTCAATCTCCAAAAAGAGTTTTGAATTATTTTTAAAACTGAGTTATGAATGGTCTGAAAAACCACAGCCCTGACACAGCCGAGGAGCAGGACGACCAGTGACAGCAGATGCGCATCATTAAGGCACCCAATAGCAGTTCATGGCTGAAGAAAACCCTAAACAGATAGTCCTGGACTTATGACCACAATTGAGCCAAAATTTATGTTGCTAAGTGAGAAGTTTGTTAAGTGAGTTTCGCCCCATTTTACAACTTTTCTTGCCACATTTGTTAAGTGAATCGTTGCAGTTGTTACGTCAGCACCATGGTGGTTAAGTGAACCTGCCTTTGCTTGTCAGGCCGCAAAAGGTGATCACGTGACCCCAGGACACTGCAACCATCATAGATAGGAGTCAATTGTGAGGCATCCGAATGTACATCATGTGACCGCGGGGTCATAAGTACGAAAAATGGTCTCAAGTTACTTTTTTCGGTGCTTTTTTAATTTCAAACAGTCACTAAGCGAATTGTAAGTGGAGGACTCCCTGCCCCCCTTTCCTGCTCTAAGCGCCCCTCCCTCTTGAGGCAAGGCTGGCCCCTGAATGAAACAGACACGCAGTTCCTTAGGCTCCTCTGCCTGCCCAGGAGACTGGCACGGCCCATCTTCCGAAGGGGGAAAAGCGCTTAGCAAATTTGCTTCATGGCAGCTGGTTTTGTTTTTTTTTTACCTTGACAAACTCAATGTTCAGCTTTCCTGTGAAGGTAGAAACCTCTCCTTGCACACTCAGCTTCCCCTTCTTGATGCTGATGGGGACAATCTCATCGTGGGCCGTGCTGTGTCCCACTCTGTCAAAGATGTCCAAGTCCTTCACCACCATGTGGCCGTTCAAACGCACATCAAATACCTGCGAGTTGAAAAGAAGACAGAATTGCTGTCAGCACGTAGGAAAACAGGCCCAGCCCAGCCCAGCCCTGGCAAGTTTTCAAGCTATTCAAAATTCTCCTTGTGAAGAATGGAACAGCCACCCATCTACACTCCTTGAGGAGGAATCCTGCGTAACTCGGTTGTTTTCAATAAATGTGGCACCGATAGAAATGTTATTTTATTAATGCTGTGCCTCAATCTTGAGATGATGCCAACATCTGGAGCGGCTTATTGGACAAAACGGTATAGCCAAATCAGTGGTAAAATAAAGCAGACAAGTTACCTTTAGATATACCAGTGGTTCTCAACCTTTTTAATGCCGTGACCCCCAACCGGTCGTAAGTCGAGGACTAAACCGGTCGTAAGTCGAGGACTAAACCGGTCGTAAGTCGAGGACTACCCAACCGGTCGTAAGTCGAGGACTTTCCCTACGCCGGCCGAAGCGTAGCTGGCAAGCGGCAGAGACGGAGCAGGCCGACCACCAGCTGGCCCAGCCCAAGGGAGGTAAGGCACCCGCCGGAAAAGGGGGGGGGAAAATGGCGGACAGCCTTGCTTGGCGACCCCCGTGAAATGGTCGATCGACCCCAAATGGGGTCCCGACCCACAGGTTGAAAACCACTGAGATATACGGTCAAAACTAATCTTTAAGGTTGTTCCCCTCCACAGTCCTGGGGAAAACGTTAAGGATGGTAGCCCAATTCACACCCCTTGGGATGCACCCTCCAGCTCCACCAATGTTTAGCTCAGGGATGTCAAACTGCTGGCCAGATGCGTCATGCCGAAACCGCGCCCATCCCAGCTCCGGCAATGGGGGAAAAGTCGCCATACATCGCGACACGTCACGTGACATTGCAAGTTTGACACCCCTGCTTTAGCTGATGCCTTTCAAGTGGCGCTTTTGTTCATTCACAAAAAGGCCCAACTGCTGCTAGGAACCCCTCCCAGGAGCACTTTTTCTTTTTTTCTTTTTACCTTCTGCTGCGACTGTGCAAAATAGACTTCGGCAAACTTCAGCACAAGGACGTAGTCGCCCTCTTCCTTGATCGGGACCTCGTAGCCAAAGGTTTCCTCATTGTAGCGTTCCGTTTGGTAGAGAATCTGATCCTCGGGGTTGGATCGCAAGATTGGCAATTTCATGCCATAGTCGGAAGCTGTATTGCAAGAAATAAATATTTTTTTCTAAGCATAATGTAGTTTACCTTTGCCCCTGTGAATGCGGCGCCCACATTTAAGGGTTTAGCTTCCCTTTCCCTCCACTTCTTCTCCTAGACCAGGGGTAGGCAACCTTGGCTCTTTGGTGACTTGTGGACTTCAACTCCCAGAATTCCTGAGCCAGCCACGCTGAGGGGGAAGGGAGAGGTTTCCAAGCTGAGCCATGCTGGCTCAGGAATTCTGGGAGTTGAAGTCCACAAGTCATGAAGGGGCCATAGTTCCCCCATGCTGGCTGAGGAATTCTGGGAGTTGAAGTCCACCAGTCATAAAAGAGCCAACGTTCCCCACCCCTGCCCTATTTCAGGGGTCCTCAACCTTGGCAGCTTTAAGACTTGTGGACTTCAACTCCCAGAATTCCTGAGCCAGCATGGAAACCTCTCCCTTTCCCCTCAGCATGGCTGGCCCAGGAATTCTGGGAGTTGAAGTCCACGAGTCCTAAAAGAGCCAAGGTTGCCTACCCCTGACCTAGACCTCAAGGCATGGGTGTCGAACCTTTCGGCTTGCCTGGGCCGGATTAAGTCTCTTAGGCTGCATACAGTGTATAAACTATACAGTACAGTTAATGTATATAAACAACAAACTTCCTTTTTAATTCTTTTATACAATCTCACAGAGCCGCATTACTAGCTGTTCAGGGCTTCATGCGACCTGTAGGCTGGACTCCTCTGCAAAGCTTAAGGAAACGATACACGCACAGAGGCTACGAATACACAGAGCGAACGTGAAAGGCCTCTGCAGGCTCAAACCAAGCGGGCCACAAGGTATCCCGAGAGCTCTGCCAGCGACATTTGGTTTACGTTGGCTCAGAATCTACTGGC